CTTTTTCAATGGCTCATTTTTTCTAAACACAAACACGAAAACTTCTGGGCCTAATGGTATTCAAACGACAACGTCTAGTTTGTTTGTTTATTTGTTTTGTTTCTTTGCAACCACCTGTTGAAAAACATAACAATGTGTTGGCTGTTACAAATAGGCATGCATAGAATCTTATAGATTATAACCAATACTGAAAGTGTAACGACCGACCGCTGAAGTTAGTGGAAATAATAGGACGATAAAGAAGAAAAATTGCGTTCAGCTTTTTATTACACCTTTTGGTTTGTAGAGAGTGTAGCCAAATAAAAAAGCTTATAAATTGTTCGCTTATTTGCGCACTTGTTTGTTCGAGTAGCGAGATGCTCATGGACACTACGCTCGTCGTTTAATGCAGTAAAAGAGTTAGACAGACAGACTAGAACAACAACGGAGATGAAAACCCAACACGTAGGACCTACCAGTGATGTCCTCCAGTCACATACAGTTAGCCCATTAGCGTATAGAAAATAGCAAACTCATCACTAATAATTATTATGTTGACATAGAAACGGGGTTTCAGAACAAGCTCTTAACTCAGTTTCTTCAAAAGTTACGAAATCGAAACTTCGTCCTTTTTTTTATCATTATACTTTTTTTTCCCGACATAACACAAATTCCAGCGTAAAACTTTTATTCTTAATAATGAGGTAAAATAAAGTTTAAAAAGGATCAGTAACAATACATCTAGAAAGACATTTGAAATAAACAAGATGGTCAGTGATGGTTGGCGGGTGCTGTGGTGTGGTTTGCTCCTTCTTTCCTATCAAACATCTATCGTCTTTATCTCTCCTCCTTCTTTTTTATATTTGTTACTCTCTTGTAGCACCTCTAATCTTCGGCATTCATATGACCTTATTGTGTTGCAAGTTTCGTAAAACTCTTACTAAAACTAAAACACGATGGTTCAAAATGACGCAAGCCACCGATTACAATGGCATGTACGTTTATATCATAGAAATACATAGAAACACTTCATGGGACGCTACTCATGTTCATTATCAACTTTTACTTACACAAATTTTAATTGAGTTGTGTCCCTTGGACAGACAACCCATTTTTTTCCTTTCTTCTTTTATCTTGCTACGACTTGCTGTTTCCTCTTTGTTATGTCCCTTAGAATATCACATTTAAGATAAAACAAAAATGTTTGGATCATATTTTTTTTCTTCCCCTTGATAAGGCCTGCGTCAATAGGAGTGACAAGAATAATGCTGACCGGGAAAGGCTCAGAGAGAAACTTGACGTCATGAGATAAATATAGAACAGCTGCCGTTCTCTCTCTCTCTCTGATGGCATTGTGTAAGTGGGATGACACATGATTATACACTTTTATTACAACACTGGTACCCAGAGAGAGAGAGAGAGAGAGAGGGGAGAGAGAGA